TCCATGATGTTTATATTCTTTTCTGTAACCCGAAGTCCCTGGGCATGTTAGCTTTACTTTGCTATTTAAATCTATCCATTGTGTACTCTGAGTACATTTACCACAGCTTCTCTATTCCTGAAATTTTCGTTTGGATTTATCACTTGATTGGTTAGAGTTCACTGTCGTGGATTTTTCAGGAAGGATTCATCTTTGCACATTCCTGGACTTTCATGTTTGAGAATGTCTGTTGGCTTTATACTTGAATGACAACTTGGCAGGAATACTATTATTCCTGGGACATCTTTTCTCTGGAACTCAGCAGGCCTTGGTGCATTGTCTTCTTGTGATGAATATTGCTGTGGAGGGGTCTGGAGTCAGCCTTCTCTTTTCCCCTTTGTAGGTGACTGCAGGGAATAATGCTTTCTTTTTCCTTAAGGATCAAAAACTTAACCAGAATATACCTCAAAACTAATTGTTTGGACCCAGTTCTTCCTGGTGTCTGGGGTGCCTTTTCTATCTGCGGATTTAGTTCTGCCATCATTTCAGGGAAATTGACATCGATTTTTATCTCTGCAATAGCAGAGATAAATGACTCCAGTCATCCTTATGTTTGATGATCTTTGCCTCTCTTCCTTGTCTATCATCTTCTTAAATTGCATTAATTTCTTTGTCTTTTTACCTTGCATTCACTGGTATTTTCTGAATCTTTTCTCTATGCTATTAACTCAATTTTTTGTCTCATCTCTTTTGTTTCTTGCCTCCTGGGTATCCGCAGCACCCCCAGGACACTGGTAATTTATTTCCTGGATTTCTCATGATGGTGCTGTGGATCTCAGTTTGTTTCCTTTAGCTCTGCAGTCTTCCTTCTTATCTCATCCTTTATTAAAGTCACCTTTTTTTTGAGCTCTGCCTTTATTGAATTTATGTTCTTATTAAGTTCCTTCATAGTGTGAAGCACTCCTGGGATCACTTCTGTTTGTTTTAGACTGGCTTCTTTGTCTTTGCAAACTATACATATTCCTATCTTTTTTTTTTTTTTTTGAGGAAGATTGACCCTGAGGTAACATCTATTGCCAAGCTTCCTCTTTTTCTTTTATCTCTCCAAAGCCCCAGTACATAGTTGTATATCCTAGTTGTGGGTCCTTCTAGTTTTTCTATGTGGGACCCTGCCTCAGCATGGCTTGATGAGTGGTGTAGGTCTGTGCCTAGGATCTGAACCTGTGAACCTCGGGCAGCCGAAACGGAGCATGTGAACTTAACCGCTATGCCACCGGGCCAGCCCCTACGTATTCCTATCTTTTTAAGATCTTTCTCTTTTTTTTTTTGTCTCTCCCTCCCTCCCTTCCTTCTTCCCTGCTATGCTACATTTGCCGAGTTGCCTTGTTAGGTCTAACTCCTTGCTCAAGCTTGGCAGGGGCAGCAGCCCTGGCCCTGCCCCCTTTCTGCCCTGGTCCAGTGTGAGTGACTCCTCCTTTACGCCTGCCCCACCTCACTGGGCTCTAGTTCGTCTTCTCAGCTCAGAGCTTCAGCTGGGGACTGAGTGTGACTTTTTTAAAAAGTTGTGGTAAAATATACATAACATAAAATTTGTCATTTTAACCACTTTTGAGTGTACTGTTCAGTGGCATTAAGTACATTCACATTTTCAGGCAACCATCATCATCATCCAACTCTGTCCCCGTCAGACACCAGCTTCCCCTCCCTCCCCCAGTCCCCAGCCTTGGGCATCCGCCATTCTACTCTCTGTCTCTATGAATTTGACTTCTCTAGGAAGTTCATATAAGTGGAATCATACGATATTTATCCTTTTGTCACTGGCTTATTTCACTTAGCATAATGTCTTCGAAGTGCATCCATGATGTAGCATGTGTCAGAATTTCCTTCCTTTTTAAGGCTGAATAATATTCCATTGGATGGATCTAACACATTTTGTTTATCAGTTCGTGTCAATGGACACTTGGTTGCTTCCACCTTTAGCTGTTGTGAATGTGCTGCAGTGAACACAGGTGTACAAACATCTGTTCAAGTCCCTTCTTTCAGTTCTTTTGGGTGTATACTCAGCAGTGGAATTGCTGGATCATGCGGTAATTCTGTTTAATTTTTTGGGGGAATCCTGAGTGTTGCCTTTGAAGCTCATTTTCGGAGCCTGCAGGCCAGCGGGGAGGCAGTGCCCCAGAGATGGGCGTCGTCACGCAGGGTTTGCGTTCCCCTCTGTCAGGGAGTCTGTCAGAGCTCCTGCTGCCCAGGAAGCAGTGGACCCCACCACTAGGCCTTCTGCTCACTCCCACAACTTGGCCCTGCTTCCTGGAAGCTGGCCAGTCCAGGCAGTCATTCCCGCCTCTGCCCTGATGTTATGGACGGGCTCTGCTCTAAGGCTTTTTCCTTGAATTTTCCAGGGATGTCTACTCATTGCCCTCAGTCTGCCTCTCTCCAGATTTTTGAGAATTGTCAGGATTTTATTCTCTCCTCAGTACAGCTTCTGGGGTGCAGGTGAGACCTAGGGGCTATACCAGGCTCACCTCAGCAGGGAAGAGAGAGGGGAGAGTCTCCTGAGATGGTGTCAGGGGCCAGGCCTAGAAGAGCCTTTTATCATTTCTCCCCACATCCCATTGGCCAGAAGCCAGTCCCATGACCCCCAACCCTACTGCAAGGGAGGCTGGGAAATGTAGTCTTTGTCTGAGCCCTTGTGAAACAGGAATTGATGAACACAGCCTAGTGTTCAGAGTATTCCTTTTTACAGCTGAAATTTCCTTTTGCATCTCTGAGAATATTATAATTAATATATAATAATATATAAGAACTGATTCTAAAGGCTTGTTCTGTTTTCTGTTTTATCCGCTTCCTCGGGTGTTAGTTCATTTTGAGTTTGGGGCTCTTTTTTCTTGGTGCTGGTTCTCGCTCATGTGTGGTGACTTCTAGTTCTACACATGTGTCTGATGCCTCGGGGGGTCTGCGGGCGGGGCTTGTGAAACCCACCTCAGAGCGGGTGGGGGTAAGCGGGAGGGGCGGGGTGCTGGGCAGGGTCTGGCTGGTCTTTGGTTCTGCAGGGTCCCTTCCCCCCGGGTATGGCCAGCCCCAGGGCACCGCCTGGCTCACCTCACCCAGGAGTCTCCTTGGGGGGCTGCTGGCTTCCAGCTCTGCGGCGTAAGTGGGTGAGAGGCATGGGGAGAAGGACCCACTTGAGGGTCCGGCTGCACTCCCTGTCGGATTCCCTGGGGCCCGCCCTGCCACGCACCTACCTGGGGCCTGGAGCCCCCAGAGCCTCGCCCAGCATACTCCTCTTGGGCATATTTTGGGCTGTGGTCTCCTTTTTCCCTCCAATCCCATCTGCCTTCCATATTTCAGGAAGTCTTCATCATTTCGGGTTGACCAAGGATGCCCCTTGCTGTTTTCCAGGGATGTTTGCATTAACTAATTAATTACTTTTACCAGTGATTTTTTTCCGTTCACCTTTTAAAGTGTACAATGCAGTGGTTTTATTATATTCACAACGTGCAACATCACCGCTATCTAATTCCAGAATATTTCCACCTCCCCCCAAAAAAAACCCTTACATCTCAATTCTGCCCTCCTTCCATGCCCTGGCAATCACTAATCTACTTTCTGTCTCTATGGCTTTGCCTCCTTTGGACATTTCATATAAAGGGAATCATGCAGTATGTGGCTTTTAGTGTCTGTCTTCTTTGACTTAGTGTGATGTTTTCAAGGTTCATCAATGTTGTAGCGTATGTCAGTACTTCATTCCTTTTTATGGCTGAATAATATTGCATTGTATGGATATAACACATTTTGTTTATCCATTCTTCAGTTGATGGACATTTGGATTATTTCTATTTTTTGGCTGTTATGAATAATGCTGCTATGCACATTCATGTACAAGTTTTTGTGTGGACACATGTTTTCTGTTCTCTTGGGCATATATCTAGGAGTAGAATTGCTGGATTGTATAGTCAATCTATGTTTAGCTTTTTGAGGAACTGCCAGACTGGTTTCCACAGCACTGTACTAATTTATATTCCCACTAGCATTGTATGAGGATTCAAGTTTCTCCACATCCTCGCCAACCCTTGTTATTGTCTGTCTTTTTGATTCTAGTCATCCTACTGGATATAAATGGTATCTCAAGGTGGTTTTGATTTGCATTTCCCTAATGGCTAATGATGTTGAGCATCTTTTCACGTGCTTCCTGGCTATTTGTGTATCTTCTCTGGAGAAAAGTCTTCTCAAATCCTTTGCCCGTTGAAAAAATACTTAATAGAATTTTTTTTAGAGCAGTTTCCAATTTATAGGAAAATTGAGCAGAAAGTACAGCCAGTTCCCATATGCCCCCTCTCCTCCACCACTCTCCACAGTTTCCCCTATTATCAACATCTTGCATTAGTGCGGTCCGTTGTTACAGCTGATGAACCAATGTTGGTACATTGTTAACTGAAGGTCGTAGTTTACATTAGGGTTCACTCTTGGTGTTGTACATTCTATGGTTTTGGACAAATGTAGAATGACCTGTATCTGCCATTGCAGTATCGTACAGAGTAGCTTCACTGCCCTAAAAATCCTCTGTGCCCCGTCTATTCATCCTCCCCTCTCCCGCCTCCCTACCGAACCCTGGTGACCACTGTCTCTGTGGTTGTGTCTTCTCCAGAATGCCATATAGTTGGGATCACAGTGCGGAGCCTTCCTGGATTGGCTTCTTTCAGTTAGAAACAGGCGTTTAATGTCCCTCTATGTCTTTTTTGCCCATTTTAAAATTGGGACGTAATTTATTTTTAATACCATTTCTGTGATCTTGAGGGACGTGGGCTGGGAGGTGGAGGCGACCTCATGGAGCCCGCCTGCCTTCTTGCCCTCATCTCAGGAACATTCTGGAAGGAAAGGATGAGCATGCCAGCTGCCCTGTCTAGCGGAAGGCTACAGCAGCATCCTCTCTCATGTGCTGGCCTGTCCCTGGGGGTTCTCCACATTCCCTCCCTCACCTTCCCTCTGTCCGCCGTGACCCTTCTCTGTGTCCCTTACAAGACCTCGTGGAGAAGAAGCCGTGTTCATGGAACTCCTCCCGCGTCTGCGAGTGCCAGGCTGGCATGTTCTGTGCCACATCAGCCACCAACTCCTGTGCCCGCTGCTCCCCCCACTCCGCCTGCCCAGCAGGGATGATTGTCAAGTTGCCGGGTAAGTCTCCCCACCCTCGGCCGAGGACTACGATCTGTGCCGATGCCGCACCCCTACACAGGGCTCCACGTGACTTCCGACCTCCCACCTCCTCCTTCCTGTGGCACAGTTCGTGTCTCCTTTCACCGTGACGGCGTGGATGCCCCAGGCACCCAGAGCCCCCTGCTGCCCTTCCCCACCTTGTGTCCCCGGCTCAGAGAGACCCTGGTGGCCCAGGGCACAGGCCTGGCTGGAAGAGGTCTTGGGTTAGTTTGAGGCTTGAAGCAGAAGTTCTCTGATGCCCAATAAACAAGAAGGAAACCTCAAGTCTCTGTCCTGGTGGTTTCCCAGAAGATGAGGGCTCATTTCCCTGTTTCACAGTGGAGGCATTGGGAGTTAGAGGAGCCAAGAGATTGGGCACCAGGCTCAAGACTGAGAAACTTAGGTTTCTTTTCCAACTTGCTGTGTGACCTCAGGCAAGTTCCTTACCCTCTCTGGGCTTCTGATTTTCTGACAGTACAAGGAAGGCCAGTGGCCAGAGAAGAGTTAAGGGTCACAGATCTTGTGTGGGTGGCACTGAGAGTGCCTTTTAGGAGGGAGGAATGGGGAGTGGGTGGGCTTTAGACCACAGCCCGGAAGAGGTGCCACAACCACACAGGGGACACGGGAGGGGGTGAGACAGGATCAGAGGGAGCCACATCAACTGGGGAGAAAAGTGCCAACACCGAGCCCATGACCCCTCCCCCAAGCTGGTTCTATTCCAAAGCCCCATCCCCGCCACCCTCTCCCCCACCCTCCTTCCTTCCCGGCCCACCCTCACCACCCCACAGCCAGCCCCTCCCCTAGATTTGCCCCCCAATTCTCTCTCCCGTTCCCCACCCCCAGTTCCTCCCCCATGGCAGACACCCAGAGCCACCCTTGCAAAACCAAATCTGATTCCTCTCTCTCTCTTTCTCTGCCACACATGCGCACACACACACACACACACCTGCTAAAACACTTGAGTATCCTCTCTTTACTCTAATGATGATGATGTGATCCTTTGGCAAAGGAGAAGAGGTTTTGGGGGGACTTCTTTTTCAAGCCTGCGCCCTTTGGCATTTCTGGGTGGCTGGTTTATTGGGCTCCCAGTCTGGGACATACGAAGAGGAAGAAGAGCGGGAGGCTGACCACTGTGTAGTTCCTCGGGTCCCAAGGCCCCTCGCCCATCCGCCCTCCCCCTCCCCCTTTCCGTCTTCCTTATGCGGAACGCCCAGGGCTTTGAGCTGCTCTCGGGGGAAGGAACGGGGGAGTGCGTCCACCCCATCTTCCAGAAGCAGGGTCTCGAGGACGTGATCCTAGACACGACCCTGCGTGGTGGACCCCTTCCTCCTCCGGCCGCAGCTCTTAGCTGCAGCCCCGCTCTCTGGGCTCCACCTGCTCTGTCTTCTTTCCGTTCTGTGGACCTGCGGCGCTTCTCCCTCCTACTAGGACTTTGCACTTGCTGTTCCCTCTGTCTGGGACACCCTTCCCTGCCCTCACTTAGTTAACTCCTACTCAGCCTTGAGCCCTCCGTGCAAACATCGCTTCCCCAGGTCAGGCGCCCCGACCTCTCACCGGGTCATGTCCCCATTGTGATCGCTCGTTGCACGGTGTCCTCCGCGAGCGTCGATACCTACGTTCGTGTCTGTCTTGGTTTGATCAGTGCTAGTCTCCCTCCCCAGGCTGTAGCTTCGTGGGGGCCAGGACCACGCCCGGGGTGCTCACGGTCACCTCTCCACCACCTTATTGAACGCCAGGCACAGCATCTGCTCTCCAGATGTTTGTTGAGTGATGTGGGGGCAGCGGGCAGGGAGATCAGAGCTGGGGCGGGAGGGGTTTGCGTCTGCACAGATCCTCCCTGGGTCATGCACAACACTCTGCTAAGGGACACGCGGGAGCCCGGCACCCGCCAGCAGGGCCAGGGTGTGGAGTGAAAAGCGCTCTGGACTGGGCGTCAGATACCTGGGACTTTGTACAGGTTTGCATCTGTGGGGCGTGTTCCCGTCCCTCTCTGGGCCTCAGTCTCCCCATCTGTAAAATGTGGAGGTGTGACTAGAAGGCTTTGGGGGCCTTTCCAGCTCAGAAACTTGCATCTCTGTGAAAAGTAGCCTTGCATTCAGTTGTTCCAGCCAGGGCCTGTGGACCAGCCAGGACCAGCTCCCGCTGGTGAGGCTCTCTCAGTGGTGTTCCTGCGATTGCCACACGGTGGCGCCAGAAGCCTCTCTTTGCTGCCCCTAGACCTGCACTGTGCAAAGCGGTGCCACGGGCCACGCGTGGCTGTGGAGCACTTAACATGTGTCCTCTCTCATGGAGATATGCTGTCAGTGTAGAATATGCACTGGGTTTCAAATACTTAGTATAAAAAAAGAATGTAAAATGTCTCATCATTTTTATATGGATTATCTGCCAACATAATATTTTAGATATATTGGGTTAACTAAATATATTATTTAAACTAATTTCACGTGTTTCTTTTTCCTTTTTTTAATGTGGCTACTAGACAATGTAAAATGACGTGTGTGATTCACATCGTATTTCTGTTGGAAGCGCTCCAGCCTTTGGCTGCCAGACCCTGGCTAACTCCTGGATCCCCTGTGGGCTCCCCCGCCGGGCAATCTCAGGGCCTCAGTCTCTCCAGCTGTGAAATGGAAAGGAGTTTCTGCTGCAGATTCGGCTCATAGCGAAGCCCCACGCTAAGAGCTGTGTAGGCTTTCTCTCCTGAAATTCTCACAACTTGTAAGGCAGACTGTATTAGCCCCGTTTTACAAGGGAGGAAATTGACGTCCAGAGATGGCAGGTAAATTGCTCAAGACCACAGAGCAGGGAATATCTGAGCCACGGTTTGAACGTCACACCCAGCTCTTGTCACCCTACCGCACTGCAGAGACACAAGATAAGTCAGCATTGCTCCTACCCACCTCCGCTGAAACCTTCAGATCGTATCCCCGCACATGTGATCACTTTCTAAGAAACAAGGCAGGAGTCCAGATGGGGAAAAGGACATGCAATTTGTTGGGCATTTACTGTATGTCACACAGTGTGACAGGCACGTTAGATACACTCTGTTTATCCTGACAGCAGCCTTGTGAAGAGTGTGTTCTTGTAATCATTTGACGTGCCCGGCACAGCTAGGACCTCATGGAGGTGGCAGGCAGACTCAGGTCCACTGGACGGAAAGTGCTGTGTTTTCCTCTCACCCTGCTTCCACCCAGATTCTTCAGGACGCTGGGTTATAAGTAACAAAATCTCGAATTTTTTGTCTCTTGGAACTGAGAAGTCTGGGGATAGCTCTGGATAGCGCCAGGCCAGGACCTCTGTCTTTTCCTATCTCTCATCTCTACTCCCCTGTGTGTAGGTATCTGTAAGATACTAGGCTGGCTTCCTACTCAACTCCAGTGGAAAGACAGCTTCTCCTTCCTATATTTTCAACAACCAAAAACAAAGCCTTGAAATGGCATCTCATAGGCATGGTTTGAGTCACGTGCCCACCCCTAAACCAGTCCATCACAGCCGGAGGAATGGATTGGATTGATTGGTCCAGTCTGGCTCCATGGCTACTCCTGGAAGGGAGGGTCAGTCAGTCCCAGCCCCTAAACACAGATACTGAGATTGGGGAGAGTAATTCCCCAGGGAAAATCTGGCTGCTTTATCCCAAGGGAGACAGATGCTGGGCAGGCACAAACACCAGATGGCCACTGCGTTTTCCAAGTGCCCCATCCCCGACTGTGGTTGTGGTGGTAAAAGGTCTATTCCTGGAGTCTTCGGACTCCTCAGTACCAAGTCTGATGACATTGCTGTCCCTCTGCAGGCACAGCGGAGAGGGACACCGTCTGTGAGCCATCTTCCCCAGGGACCAGCCCTGACTGCAGCACCAGTCCCGAGGACTGCAGGGCACCTGCCAGGTGACTCCAGGCCCTCTTCCATCCCAATGACCTTAGTATAGGCTGTCCCACTCCCCAGGATGCCCCGGGCACAGCGGGGTTGGGGGTGCGGGTGGGGTTCAGCCCAGGGTGTCAGAACTCCAGGGTGCCTCTCTGCCACTCCCACAAGTCATTTGAGGCCCTACTGTGTGCCCAGCCTGCTGTGAGCACACAGGACACCTGGCCCTCGCTCCCAGGAGCAGACAGTGGGCCTGCCAGGGGCTCTGGGCAGGGGTCTGGGGTTCTCTATAGAAACCGTCATCCCTGAGCACAGCCCTCCCTTGCCCCTCAGGAGGATCGACAGCCCCATCTCTGGCTCCCCTCCCAGCGGCACCACCCCGCAGGCCAAGCCCCGCCTGACCTCCCCCGCAAGCTCCCATGCCAGGACCACGCTTCTTGGAGGGGGCACCTCGGAAGAGGATTCCAAAGTGACGAGGGCTCCCAGCTTTTCCTTCTCTGCGGGGAAGCCCAGTCCAGACCCAGGTATTTCTCCAGAGAACCTGTGAACTGTCTTCCAGGGCAACGGTGTCTGATTGGTGGGCAGCCTGTGTGTGACAGTCCGAGCGTGTAGGCACTGAGCTGTGGTCTTTCCCAGTGTGGGGACAGGAGGGTCTCAGGGTCTCCTGGAGCTGAAAGCATGGAGGGCCGCAGTAGAGAATGGAAGGACTCATTCATTTAACAACAGTTTTGAGGGCCCCCTGCATGCCAGACACCAGGTAGGTGTGGGGCATGCTGGTGTCGATTTGATGCCCTCCTGGTTCCCATGGCAACAGATTGGGGGCCTCAGTTCGCTCCTGTTTATTACTGAATAGCCTTCCACTGTATAGATAACACCACACTTTGTTTATCCAAACAGTCTTTGGATATTTGGGTTGTTTTCACTTTTAGGCTATAATGAATAATGAAATGTTTTCATTTCTCGTTTTTTTTTTATTGATTTGTGGGACTTATAATTCTGGGTTTGAGCCCTGTGTTCAAAATATCTTCTCCTACCTTGTGGCTTGCCTTCTTCTTCTCTTTCTGGTGTCTTCCTGATAAAAAGATGTTCTTAATTTTAATGTAATCAGAATGACCCCTCTTTTCCTTTATGACTAGTGCTTTTCATGTTCTGCTTTGTAAGTCTTTTCCTCCACTGCAGTCTCAGAGACAGGCTACATTTATTTTCTGGGATCCTTATTGTTTTGCCTTTCACATTTCGATCTGCTGTCCTCCGTGGCTTTTGTGTATGGTGTGAGGCAGGGGTCACATTAAAAGTGTCCATGTGAATATCCAGTTGAACCAACACCATTTATCAAATGGTGAAAAAGGATAATGTCCTTTCCCCATTGTTTTGCCTGCCGTCTTTGTCGTAAATCAAAGCTCCATATATGTGTGGGTCTGATTCTGGACTCTCTTCTATTCTGCTGATCTTTTTATGTATTCTGGGTGAATACCACACTGTCTTACTTACTATAGTTTTTGAATAAATCTTGATGGATAGTTGAGCAACATCTCCAACTTTGTTCTTCACCGGTGTATTGGCTACTCTTGGTAATTTGCATTTCCACATACATTTTAGGTCAGCTTTTCAGATTCCACAAAATGTCTATTGATTTTGATTGGTTTTGATTGGGATTGCATTGACTTTATGGATCAGTGTGGAGAGAATCCACGTCTTCACAGTATTGAGTATATAGTATAGCCCTCCATTTGTTTAGGCCTTCTTTAAATTCTCCCATTAATGTTTTATTGTTTTCTGTGTAGAGATATTTACATCTTTTTGTTAGATTTCTAGGTATTTGATATTTCTGATGGTGATGTAAGTTGTATGTTTTTAAATATTTCATGTTCTAACTCTTTAATGTTATTATTATTTTTGAACTGTGTGAAATTGCCAATATTTGACTGTCTGACCTATGACAACAGCAATTTCATATGGTTCAACCCGAATATGTAGACATTCAATTGATTTTGATATGGTAACATTTTATCCAACTACCTTGCTAAACTCACTTATTAGTTCTAATAGTGTGTCTGCAGATTCCTCTGGAGTATCTGTGTGCTCAGTGATGTCATCTGCCCATGACGGCTTGAGATCTTCCTTTCTAAACTTTACCACTCTTATTGCTTTTTCTTGCCGTACTGAATTGTTAAGGATGCCCGGTGCCACACTGAATAGAAGTTGTGATAGTGGGCATCCTTGTCTCATTGCTGATCTCAGAGGGAAAGTGGCTGCCACGGTTCTGAGGAGGGTGGTGACTGAGCAGTGAGCCTGGGGAGAAGGCTTTGGCTTAGGGAGATGGTGGATGGTGGAGGGGAGGGGCCGGAAGGGGGGGGGCAGTCAAGAGGCAGTTAGTGCTCTTCCCTGTGTGGCCTTAGGCACATTCCTTCCCTCTCTGAGCCTCAGAACTCGCTCTGAAGGACTGATCTGACATGTGCAGAGTTTGGGAGCTGGCTGTGGAGCTGGGGGGCTTCAGCGGTTTGGGGGGAGGTGAGTCCTCTGCCAAGGTGGCCTGGCCCGGAGCTTCTCCACTTCTTTTCCCAGGGCTGACCCCACAGCAGCCGTGTCCTCAGGGGTCTCCCGACTGCCGGAAGCAGTGTGAGCGGGACTACTACCTGAATGGCGACGGCCGCTGTATGGCCTGTGTGAGCTGCTCGGGAGGTAAGGGCCTTCTCCCCTCCAGGGGCTCCCTCCAGGGAGGGGGTGTCAGGGGAGCGGCTGAGAGTCTGGGGGTGGGGGAGCCCCGAGTTGGTCTTAGACTGCTCGGCCTTCGGGAGCCTGGTTCACCTCTCTGGCATTTTCGAGCCGGCGGCTCCTCGTGACTCCCACTCACGACTGTGGGTTTTGATGGCGGTGACCCCTTTTCAGAGAGCTTCCATTTGCTCACTCTTTCCTGCAAGGGAACATCTGTTAATCACCTCCCTGTTCCAAACTTGTTTCATTTTTTTTCGTAACTACCCTACAATGCGTCAATGCGATTGTCCCCATTCTGCAGAGGAGGAAACTGAGGCTTTGGGAAAGGCCACAAGCTCTCATGAGTGGCAGGACTGGGGTTTGAACCTGGGGCGTCTGCCACCAGGTCCTGGGCTCTGCTCACTCCACTGTGCCACCTCTTAGAGCCTGCTCTCGACAAGCACTTACTGAGTGACTGCTGTGTGCATGGCGGGATGACACCCTGCCCGTGTCTTCCCTGCGGCCAGCTCACCGCAGCCCCATAGCATACCGCCAACCGCCCTGTGACATCAGTGGGGGCCACGTGGGGTGGGGGAAGCTGCCTAGGCCTTGGCGCCGTGGCCATCAGCACCCCCCGACTCACAGAGGCCCCCAGGGAATGCATGATTCCGTCTCCTTGTCCAGAGTCAAGGGAGGCCAAACACAGAGAAGAACACTGTGTCACTGGGGGCCACTGTTCCCATTACTAAGGCCTCGTAGCGAATTTCCTCAAAACTTAGTGGCAAAAAACAAACCATTCATTGTACTCGTGGATTCCATGGGTCAGAACTCAGACAGGGCACTGCAGGGTTGGCTGGTCTCTGCTCCACGATGTTTGGGGTCTCAGCTGGGAAACTCGGAGGCTGGAGGCTGGAGTATCTGAAAGCTAATTCATTCACGTGTCTGGGGGTCCGTGACAGCTGCTGGCTGGGGTCTCAGCTCCTCTCCATATTGCCGTCAGTAGGGCTCACTTTGGGCTTCCTCACGGCCTGGTGGCTGGATTCCAAGGATGGGGGTGGCAAGGAATCACACCCCTTTTTATGACCTAGCCTCGGAAGTCGCACAGCGTAACTTCCGCTGCTCTGTACCTGTCGAGGCAGTCACAAGTCCCACCTGACTCAAGGGAAGGAAAAAATCGTGCTTCTTGAGGGGTGAGTGGCAGAGCTCTGGAAGAGCAGATGGGGACAGAAATACTGCCGTGGCCGTTTCTGGAAAAATATAACCTGTCACAGCCGCCGTGTCGGATGGAGAAACGAGAGATGGCTCTGGGCCCAAGAATTCCTTGAACTCTCACAACAGAAGCCCCACGAGGCTGTTGAGTGGAGTACAGTGGCTGAGAGCATGGGCTCTGGAGCCCAAGTGCCTGGGTTCAAATCTCAGCTCTACCACTTGGTGGCTTATAAACTCAAGCAGGTTTCTTAACCTCTCTGTGCCTCAGTTTCCTCATCTGTAAAATGGGCATAATAATAGTACTGTCTCAGAGTTGTTGTGGGAATTAAATAGGTTAAACTAGGTTAATCTGGGCAGAGTGCTAAGAATACTGCCTTGCACACACTTGATTATATTAATAGCTATAATAATGATTATAGCTGTCATTGTCCCAAGTCATCTCACTCATGGCTGAGCCCACTCTTGCCCTCTGCACAAATTCTCCAAATCCTCCCCAGGTCTTGCTCTCTGGAGGTTGCAGGAAGAGACTGTGTGGTCCCTTATCATTATCACATGAGATCTCTAAATATTCTGCCCAGGAGAAATGTTCTTATTGAGCTCATTTGTCACATTTGTCTAATCTACTGATGCACTAATTCTATTTTCACCCATAAATAGAGACGCAACATATTCCCAAACATATATAAATGCATTATTATACTTTTTCTTTTACAAAACCTCTAACATTTTATTTATTTATTTTTTTGCTGAGGAAGAGTCGCCCTGAGCTAACTTCTGTGCCAGTCTTCCTCTGTTTTGTATGTGGGTCGCTGCCACAGCATGGCCACTGACAGACTAATGGTGTAGGTCCGTGCTCAGGAACCAAACCCAGGCTGCAGAAGCAGAGTGCACTGAACTTAACCACTAAGCCATGGGGCCAGCCCCCACTAACATTTTATTTTTTGATTTTGAAAAAAAAACTTTATCATTGAAAATTTCAAACATGTGCAGAAGTAGAGAGAATCAGGAATGGTTATGGACTGTCACCTGGTTTTAAAGAATTATCTAGTCGTGGCCAGTCTTGGTTCATCTATACCCATGCCCACTCACCCCCCTCTGGATAATTTTCTTTTTAACAGCTTTATTGAGATACAGTTGACATACAATAAAATGCACATGTTTAAAGTGTGTGATTTGATAAGTTTTGATATATGTATGAAACCATCACCACGATCAAGGTCATGAACTGTCCGCCACCCCCAAAAGTTGCCTGGTGCTGTTTATCATCCCTCTCACCATTCCCCACCCCTGCTCCCATTCCCAGGCAATCATTCTGCTTTCTGTCACCATGGAATAGTGTGCGTTTTCTATAAGTGGAATCATATAGTATATACTCCTCTTTTGTCTGCATTCTTTCGCTCGGCAGAATTATTTTGAGCATGCCAAGAGATCTGCTCAATGAAATAGTCAAATGAGCATTTACTCCTGGGCGAATGCTTCTCTGCCTTCTCAGGGGTTCTCTGGACCCCCCCGCCCATGCCATCCCAGATCCTTCCCCCTGACCTTTCTCTGTGTCCCTTAGATGACCTCGTGGAGAAGACACCTTGCACGTGGAACTCCTCCCGAGTCTGCGAGTGTCGACCTGGCATGTTCTGTGCCACATCAGCCACCAACTCCTGTGCCCGCTGCATCGCCCACCCCATCTGCCCACCAGGGATGGTCACCAAACTCCAGGGTAAGCAGTCTGCACCCCCAACCACGGGGCTGAGGTCTGTGCCCCTCCCTACAGGGCCCACCCCCAACCGGACAAATGACCTTCAACCCCGGCTGTTAACTAGGTCAGGTTTGGGCTTTGTTTAGATCCAGTGAGTGGAATAAAATCCAAATTTGGAATTTTGGTAAGAGGTTCTGATGATGATTCTTCTTCTTTTTCTTTTAATTCTTCTTTCTGTAATTGTTGGGCTGGTAAAACCTTGACTTGTTTGCAAGGCTGTTTTATTGACCCAAGATAGATCAATATAAAGTTTATGAAGAAGCTTCCAAGTCAAGATGGTGGACATTTGCCAGAATGTAGGAAAGTATAAACCCTTGACAGTGGGGGAAAAAAAAGAATTCGTCAGCAGAAGAGAGATTTCAACTAATTTCTAGAAGGTAGAAAACAGATGGAAGGTTGGTAGCAAACGAAACCAAGTGGAGGAAAGCTCACCCCAGAATTCACCCCATGAGGGCTGCAGGAAAAGTGAGGGGTAACTTGCTCATAAGACCCCCCAGAGGGGCCCTGGGCTCAGAGCAGACAAGGAAAACGAAGGATGGGAGTGAAGTGGGGAACTGGGAAGTACAGTGGGCTGCAACTTCATCTTGAAAATAAAAGTTTGTACCAGTGGTATTCCATGGGCACTGATCAGTCTGAACAGAGGCTGCCTGAGTTTTTATCCCCTGGTGAAAAGAATCAACTTTTTGGCTAAAGACACTGAAAGGATTGTCTAGGGACATCTAGGTCCCAGTGTGGTGCTGCCACTCTGGTGTAAAGCCCTCTTTGTTTGTTAATTTGAGAGTATGCCCTGTCAGTAGGCTGCCCCTGCTAAGTCACCCTAAAGTGAAGGTGCCAGCTCACCCTCCCCACCCACGGCCGAGTCCCCAGCAGGCCTCCTCCTCAGGGAGGAGACCCATCCTGAACAGGACACACTAACACCACAGCAGGAGAAACCCCACCAGCTACTGGAATATGCAGCACAGTCCTTCCTTTAAAATAAATATGAATGAGCAGTAAAGATCTTCAGACGTATAATGAGAACCAGCAACATGAAGGAGAATAACAAGATACACAAACAGAAGAACTTGCTACAGATGAAGCAATGGTAAATCCAGGAAGAGAAGAGAACTTTAAAAAATTAAATTAGTGTCCTCGGAGAAATTGAAGAAGTTGTTACATCCTCACGGTGAGAACAGAACGCTATGAAAAAGAAACCATAAGAGGATAGAGGACAAGAAAAGGCTTTTAGAAAGTGTGCTTGTTACCAGTCTGTTGCCTCCCAGCTCCCAGTTCATCTTTCAGTACCTGCCGTGCAGTCAAGGATCGGACTCGAGCATTTCTCCTTGTGAGCATGATGTTAAGCTTTGCCAGCAGAGGGCGCTGGGGGCCGTCGCAGGAGGAAGGAGGCTTCTCTTGGCAGCGTTTGCTTTTTCTTGCCCCTGCTGCACAGTCCCTCAGCAGGGCCTGTTGGGGGGACATCTGGTGGTGCCCTGCCCCAGCCCTGCTCCCAGAGTAGGCAGTCCCCCGGCAACCCCACAGCCCAGCCTAGGCCTGGTGACCACCTTGGTGTGGCCTTCCTAGTAGGCACACTGGCACGGTCCAGGCCTCAGGTCAGCAGAAGTGCCGTAATCCCCTCTGTGACCCCAGCCTTGGATCTCTGCCCTCCGTTTCTCACAGCCCTCTTGACATGGTCACTGTGTGGCCCAGGCCTTGCACCCACAGTGGTGCCCTGACTTACCCTGCGTACCTGACCTGAAAAATATGAGACCCCAGATTGAAAGGACCTACCAAGAGCAAAGCAGGATGAATGAAAATTACCCACACCTAGATGTCATAGATGTACCACCATTTATTTATCCATTCACCAGTTGATGACATTTGGCTTGTTTCTGGTTTAGGGCTGTTATGAATAAAGCTGCTACAAACGTTCTTTTACAAGTGTTTGTGTGGACATATAATTTCATTTCTCATGAGTAAATACCTAGGAGAGGGACGACTGGGTCACTGTGCCGGCCACACAGAAGATCTTTGAGGGCCAGTTCAAAGCTGGCTGCCTGCGATCTGATCCAGACACCTCCTTTTACAGATGGAGAGAAACACAGGACCAGAGCTAGAGCTGGAACACAAGGATCTTGAGTCCCAGCCCAGAGTACTCTCTCCTGGACCACACCAGCTCCTTAGTTCTGAACCTAGAATTTTTCACTCAGCTAAAATACAATTAAGTTTGAAAGCAGAATAAAAACATTTTCAGATATGAAAGGGCAGAAAGCTTTCCCCCCATGTATCCTCTCTCTTGAAAGTTACTTGAAGATGTAATCCAGCTAAATAAGGGGCAAAAAACAAAAAAGGAGAAATCATGTAATCTAAGGAACAGTGACTCTATCCCAGGAGAGCAAGGAAGGGACGTCCCAGCAGGACAGCTGAGCTACAGACCAATTGACCAGATCAGAGCAGGAAAATGCAGGGCTCCAGGGAACTATTTGCAGGAATTAAAGGAAGAATTGCAGTAAATTTCGTGAGTGGTAGAGTTGAAAAACTTGAGGACATGATGAAGGCACGTTATTTTTTTTATCAAGAGGAAAAAGAAAAGCAACCGAAAACTCTAGGGAAAATAAAAAGCTGACACGAAATTTATAGTGCAAATATGATGACGAAAATTTCCTCTGATTTTAAGCAATTGCTGGATGTACAAAAAGAGAATCCATTTGATGCTAAGACCATTCTCCTTTAAATGGCCCAAGGACTGGGTGTTTGGGTTTAAAGAGAAGTATTTTAGTCTGGTAAATAGTGTCTTTTTCTGGTTCCTAAATTGGGACTAAGAGGAGGTACCTTCTTTTTTTTTCCTTCTTCAGTGGGCCCTTACCAGAGAACACAGACAGGCTAACTAGGGGCTAAACGGTGTCTTCTGCTCACCTTGAGATCCAAAGGAGGAAGAAAAGGGGAGAGTCACTAACCCAGGGGGGAGGAGGAGGGTTATGGGTGAGGTACAGTGCGTACAGAGACGGGATGAGAGGCACCGGAGCGCTGAGGCTCCACTCGGAGGAGGGACAGCAGTTCTGTCCCTGGATTCTAGCAGGTGTTCCAGTGGCATCTTATACCCGAGGCTGCCTCAGAGAGAGGCCAGAGAGCTCTCTCCTCCTGGTGCCCACTGGGTGTAGCCACAGTGAGTGTGTTTGAGCACAAGAGCTCCTCCAGTCCTCTCAAAGTCAACTCTCATGAAACCCAGTGACCTTTCAAATACTAATTCAAATACTGATTTGAAAATAAATAGAAATTATCATAACAAATTGCATCGTCTTCCTCATAGCCTAAGGCCTCCAGGCTTCAACTAATTCAGGTTATAGTCTAGTGACCATGTGGAAAGACACAGTATCTGTTTGGAGACCCCCCCCAAAAAGCAGGGTTCCTCAGGACCCTACTAATTCAAGAAGGAAATTAATCTTAGTCTCACTTGCTCTTCAAAGTGTTTCAGGAAAAATCTGAGAGGCATCATGAGAGGGGAGTGTGTTTGCTTGGGGTTGTGCCACCGTCAGGGCTGTGGGGGCGGAGAAGGATAGTGGCTGGGCACGACCTACTTCAAATGTGGGCCAATTTCTTCTGCCCCAGAAAGGCAGTTAATCGTAGCTTTTAAGAAAGTGCTCATTCCCCAGGCAGGAGGCGGTGTGGTCCAACAGAGAATGTTCTGGGCTGGGACTCAGGAGCCCTACCTTCTGGCTCTAGCTCCAGCTCTGTGGTTCTCTCCATCTGTAAAAGAAAGTGGCTGGGTCAGATCAGAGGTGACCAGCTTTGAACCGGTCCTGAAAGACATTCAGTCTGGTCAGCATGGTGACACAGCCTTTCCCCCCTAGGTTCTCAAGAAAAATGAAATTAGATGTCCTCACAAAGACTTGTACAAGAATACTCATAGCTGCCTTATTTATAATAGCTTCAAACTGCAAACAGCCCAAATGTCCATCAGCTGGGGAGTGGATACATAAGTGGTGGTACATCTATACAGTGGAACACTATTCAGCAATAAAAAAGAATGAACTATTGATACATACAACATGAATGAATCTCAGAAACATTGTGCTAAAAGAAGCCAGACGCTAAATGAGTGCATACTGAATGATTCCATCTAAGGAAATTCTAGAACAGGCAAACTAGTCCACAGTGACATAAAGCAGATCTGTGGTTGCCTGGGTGTGGGGGGAGGACTGACTGCAGAAGGGCACTAGGGAACTTTCTGGGGTGGTGGGAATGTTCCAGATCTGCAGTGGAGTTCCAGTTCCGTGGAAGTATACGTTCTTCAAAGCTCGTCAGACTGTACACTGAGGGGACATTTTCTTCTATATAGATTATACCTCAATAAAGTTGGTTTCAAAAGAAAAGAACTTTAAAAATTGAGGCTACATTTAAATATCAGGAGGTATTTAAATTTATTTATTATTTTTATTTACTTATCAGGCTTCTCTTACGTAAAATCAGGTCTAGAGTCACCAGGCCACCTTCCTGTGTGATCACAGTTGGCTGGAGGCGAGGAGCAGCTTTTCCACTTTGATCTTTTGAAACACAAATCTGACGATCTCAGCCAACTAGAGCAGCAGGAACAGGGCATTACAGGCAGCATTTCAGGGTTCGTGTCTCAGGCCTCCGCGGCTCGGCGGGCGGCTCTGCTGTCTTGCCTGGGCTCCTCATGTTTCTCTTACTTCTGGGACCAGCGCGGGCTGGCTACCTACCCGGGGCCCGGTCTCCTTACAGCAATGGCAGAAGTGCAGAAAGGGGGCGAGTGGAAGGACAGACGCCTCTGAAGGCCCAGGCTGGGACTGGGCACGCTGTCACTTCCGGCCCGTTCCACTGACCAAGTTCAGGCATGGCTGGGGTGGGGGCACAGACACCTGCCTCCACCGGGAGGAGCTGCAGAGGCATCTGGCAGAGGGTGTGGGTGTGGGGCAGGGTGAGGAGACGGAACTATAATGCAATCTATCACCGTGATCCCATCCCTTTGCTAATTAAAATCATCACTTTGGGGAGAAAGACCCAATTTTACAAAACAGCTTTATTGAGGTATAATTTACATACCATAAAATCTACTAGTTTTAAGTGTACGACCCAATGATTTCTAAGAAATTTATAAAGTTGTGAAACTATCACCACGATCTAAGAAAACTTTTGCCCATTGGTGGTCAATCCCCATGCCCATCCCCAGCCTGGACAACCACTAATCTACTTCCTGTTCCTCTAGATTAACGTTTTCTGGACATTTCCAGAATATGTGTTCTTCTCCGTCGGGCTTCTTTCGCTGAGTATTATACCTCTGAGGTTCATCCACACTGTCGCCTGTATTAGTACTTTGTTCCTCTTATTGCCAAACAGCCTTCCAGTGGACAGATATCCCACATCCTGTTTATCTGTTCACCAGCTGATGGACATCTGGGTTGTTGCCACTTCTTTGACTGCTAGGAATAATGCTGCTATGACCGATCCCTCTCCTCCCTCCCCCACCTCTGGGCCTCCTCACCTTCTATTTCCTCTGCTTCTATACTCCCATCCCCACTCACATCCCAGCAATCCCCTCCTCAGGGAAGCCTCCTCCGTCAGACGAGGTTGAGTCCCCCATTACGGGGACCCCACGTGCCTTCATGTGACCTCTGGGTCATGTCTGTGAGCCTCAGAGAGTGGGGATGTTGTCTGTTTTGCTCACTACTACATCCCAGCTCCCTGCATAGTCTCCGTACACAGTAGGTGCTCAGTAAAAGCTGTTGCATGGAGGGAAGGAAGGAAGGAGGGAGAGAAGAAGGGAGGAGACGACACAGACCTGGGTCTGCCCGGCAGCAGTGTCCTGGCCCCACTGTGCTGCGTCCCTGGAAGTCGCCAGTCCCCGATGGTAAGGCTCCTTGGCACCAATTCTGAGACCACTCCCTGCAGGTACGGCTGAGTGGGACGCCACGGATGAGCCACCTCCTGCGGGATCCCACCCCAACTGCAGCACCAACCCAGAGGACAGAGAGGCGTCCGCCAGGTGACTCCCCGGCCCCTTCCCTCCATGGGGCCTGCCATGCCCTGGGGATGCCTCCATGCTGGGCTGGCGTGGAGGTGGGGCCTGGGCTGCATCTCTGTGCCAAGCCCAAAAGTCCCCTGGAGAATGTGTGCCGCGCTCTGTGCTGGCACTACTGGAAAGCCAGAAGTCCTAGAAATCCAGTCCCCGCCTTCAAAGTGCCTGGCAGAGACTGGGCGGAGGATCTGGGGACTCAGGCCTTGTCTACACAGTCTTTATAGAAAGGGAATTATTCCTGAGCACACACTTCCCTTTTTCCATCTTGTGGTCAGTCTTACCTCTGGCTTCTCTCCCTGCAGCTCCACCCCCTCCCTGGCAGACCCCCAGACCAGTCAGGGGCATGGAGGGGGCATCACCCACGCCCGGGGGGACGCCTCCATCCTCACGAGTGCTCCCATCTCTTTCTCCTCCACGGGAAAGCCCACGCTGGTTTCAGGTAATCATTCGCCCCCAGGAAGCAGGGCCTTCCTCCCAGGAGGCCGGAAGGACAGAGGCTTCTCTCCCGGGGCAGTGGCATCCAGTGGGTGGGGGGCACCAAGGTTGACCCCAGGTTTCCAGCTTCTTGAGCTGGGGCTGTGGCCCTGTCATTGCTGGTGATTATTCCTTAATGCTTACGAGCAGGCGTTTTATTCACAGCTTCATCTTCATGGCCCAAAATCGCTACTCCTGAATGAACTCACGACCTTGACTAGTTCCTTAATTCTTTGAGCCTTGTTTTCTAGCCTGTGAAACTGCAGTAGCCTGTGCCCTGCAGAGGGGTCAGCAGTACCGCACGTGGCGGCCAGCTCATTACCTGGCGCCTTGCAGGCATTCCCTCCCAAGTGCAGTTCATTTTAGGACCTGCAGTTCTGGGGTTGGACACTAGGTGGCGGTAGTTCTCAGGCCGGCTGTTCTCCAAGTGCCCCGCTGCTGGACCTGCAGCATCAGCAGCTAGCTGGAAAAACAAATGATCGGCCCCACCTCAGTCCTACTGAATCAGAAACTGAATTTTAACGTGGCCCCCGGAGATTCATATGCATTTAAAGTCTGAGAAGCACTTATGTGGCACATACTACTTTTTTAACATCCAAAAATGGACTTAAAAAACAATGACTAGAGGGGCGGGCCCCATGGCTTAGCGGTTAAGTGCGCGCGCTCCGCTGCTGGCGGCCCGGGTTCGGATCCCGGGCGCGCACCGACGCACCGCTTGTCAGGCCATGCTGTGGCGGCGTCCCATATAAAGTAGAGGAAGATGGGCACAGGGCCAGTCTTCCTCAGCAAAAGGAGGAGGATTGGCATGGATGTTAGCTCAGGGCTGATCTTCTTCACACACAAAAAAACAATGACTAGATATATGATCTTCAAAGTGACAAAAGGAAAAAGGGAGACAAGTACAGTACTAAGATGTAAAGAAAAATACCCAGATATCGGGTAAGCGCGTGGGCACTGGCGTCCCCGTGGCCTGACCTGAGCCAAGATTCTGCCATTTGCCCTCAGGGTGACCTTGAACGAGTTACTCAACCTTTGAGAGCCCCAGTTTCCCTAACTGTAAAATGGAGGTAGTAGTGGTCCCACGGCTTAATTCGCTGTTGATTCGCTCATTCAGGGAGCCCTTGCTGAGTGTGTTTATTGCAGGGTAGACCCTGTGCCTGCCCCCACGGAGCCTCCGGGCTAGAGGGGAGGCTGGGAGCCGTGCCAGACCCATTTCAGCCTCCCCGCCACTCTGCCAGCCAGTTGCCGGGGGCTGCGCATCACACATGCCCTCCTCCACGGTCCCTGGACTTTGTTCTTTAGGACCTCGATTCCTTCTTCATTCTGGCTCCTTGACTCCTCAATTTGTCACCCTCTAGAAACGGTCTGCTCTTCTCTCCACCATTTAGCCGCCCTGATGGTCTTCCTGGAGCCAGGTGAGGGAGGGCAAGTGGGTGAGGGCTGGACCAGACAGAGACAGGGTCTGGGTTTCAGTCCTGGCTTGGGAAAGGACCAGGTCGTGGCAGCCACAATGGAGTCTGTGTCCCAGGAGAAGGAGGAGGTAGTCTGCACCAGGGCTGTCCTGTGTGGTTGCAGTGGGGCTCCTGGCTCACTGCCATGATGTAGACTTCGGGGGCCGCGAGCATCAGGGTGGAGAGTGCAGGGCTGCCTCTGTGTTCCAGGACCTGTGCTCTTCTGGGTCATCCTGACGCTGGTGGTGGTCGTCAGCTCCGGCTCCTTCCTCCTGTGCCACCGGAAGGCCTGCAGGAGGTGGATTCGGCAGAGTGAGTGGATGTGTCTTTGGGGCCTTGTGGAGGGCGCCTGGCCTGGGTCCCTGCCCTGCCTTGCTCTCTGAGGCTGGCACCTCCAGCCCTCCCCTGCTGTCGTTTCAGAGCTCCACCTGTGCTACCCAGCCAGGACCTTCCGGCCCAAGCTGGAGCCTGGGTTAGTGGGTAAGTGTCCAGATGTCCGCGGGGCTGCTTGAGCCACATGGACATGCAGCAGCTCTCGGCCCTGGGTCTGGGGTTCCTTCGGGCCTCCCTCTGTGTGCTTCCCACAAGCTCCTCTGTCTACAACCTCATCTGAAATGGGAATATAATGTGCGTGGAGACTGTGTGACATGCCCTGGACAGCACTGGATGGAGTGCTGGCACGAAGGCTTAAAAATCCACCCGTCTCCATTCCTTCCTCCACAGCGCCCCCAGGAGAGGCATTCCTGATGCCCTCCCCTCCTCTCCTCTCTCCCCCTCCTTCCCAACCTCCCTTTTCCTTCTCCCCACCCCATGCCTCCTCACCACCCCCTCCGGCAGCCGCCGAGGGGTATAGGGGTCAGTAGGGCAGGCAGATAGGGCTGGAATCCTGGTTCCCCCAGTTACAAGCTACACGTGCTTGGGTGAGTCACTTAATTCCTCTGTGTCTCAGTTTCCTCAGCTGTAAAATGGGGACAGCGGGACCTAATTCAGAGGGTGGGCGTGTGGATCAATCGAGATGGGGCCTGTTAGGCGCTCTGCGGGGTGCCTGCACGCGGGGAGCACGCAGTGAACAGCGGCTGCTGTGCTGGGCGGCCGGCCTGTGACTGGGGCCTTTTTCCTCACCAGGAGTCCCAGGACTTCCTGAGTTCTAAGTTGTTCTGAACCCCTCCCTGTCCTTGATGTCTGATCCCTGTCCAACCTCCGGGCCAGCTCTTCCAGGCAGCCTTCTGGAGCCCCTGACCCTCCCCACCCATCCTGGCAGGAGGTCTCTTCCAGCTCTCACCTGGGGGAGTGTGTGTGTGTGTGTGTTGGGGGTGGGGGCGGGTCCCAGCCATCTTGTGCTAAATGTCTTCTCTCCTCTGTGCAGCCCCTTTGGAGTCAGGGCAAGGTCTTCCTCAGCGCTCCACAAGCATTGACTGGGCTCTGACCACCGGGGAAGGAGTGAACGTGAATGGTCTGAGCTTCCCTTTCTGGTTCAAGGCAGGCTCCCCTAAGGTGTCTCACTGACCCAGGAACCCCAGGGGAGGCAGGGCGATGCTCTTCGTTCAGTAAGGAGGAGACAAGGCTCAGAAAGCTAGATGACTGGCCCAGGGCCACACAGCCTGTAAGTGCCCCGGGCAGACTCAGGCGCTGGTCCTTGAGATGGCAGGTTTGGTTTGTAGAGGGCTCAATCCTGTCCCCTCTTCCTCCCTCCAAGCTTTGTGCACCACCCCGCTGCCCGCCCAGGAGCACAGTGGTCAGCCTCAGGCCAGGTCATGGCCCCCTTGCCTCCTACCCCCCAGGCCCCTTGGAGAGACTTGCTAAAGCCCAACTTCTGACTTGGGCACAAAAACACGGTCCCCTGAGGCGTGTTTTGAACTTGATGAGTTTCACAAGCAGGTGCTCGTGTTCCCTTTGCAAGGGGGGTTTTTGTGTTTTGACAGTTTCAAGCCTTTTTCCATGAGCTGTCAGGCTCAATGTCTCATTGAAACTCGCGTTTGCTTTCTTGACATTTTTCTAGTATTAGAGTTTCCATTGCCGTCAGTTTATTTTTTTCTTCAAACCTTCGTGATAGCAGTTTTGTCACAAAAAATAAAAAAAGAGAGAGAGAGAGAAAGAAAGAAAAAAGAGCACCTTCCCTTGAGAAGCCAGACCTACAAGGAACCCAGCCCTGAGACTCAGTGGTGGCCATCCTGTTTGGGGCTGCTTCTGGCCCTCTGGCTTCCGGTGGGTCCCTGGGGTCTGGTTCCCAGGCTTGAGATGGAAGGAAAGTGACGCCAGGATAAGCACGTGGCGCGCAGCATGGGAACGGACTGAGCGGGGTGGGTGCCCCGGTCCCTCCAGGGTGCTGGACGGGGAAGGAGCATTCATTCATTTGTTCTCTCGTTCATGTATTCAAATCATCGTCACCGAGCCCTTCCTAGTGGCTCTGTGCTGGGTACAGAAACTGTCCTTGGTCTTCTGAGCTTTCAGAACCAGTGTCAGTTGCTTGAAGGGGCTAAACGTGAGCAGGATGGGAATGTGCGTCCCACCCTCCCTGTCTTGGAACTCCAGGGCTGGGAGGGTGCGCATCAGGGGTCCGGGCAGGTGCCCATGAGAGGATCACCAACCGTCTCTTGAATTAATTGGAATTGTGGCGTGTGTCCTTGGGGTAGGCGTTTGCAAAGCCGTGCATGTTCTCATTTCATTCCTCCCAGTGGCCTTGTGAGACACATGCTATTATTATCCCATTTCACAGATGAGAAACCAGAGGCACAGGAAGAAGGAACTTGTTTAAGGCCACTGGGTTAATAAGCAATACGACCAGGATTTGTTGTTATTGATGCTATAAAGGGTCTCACCCTCGGCACCGTTGACGTTTGGGACTGGATCATTCTTTGCTGCGGGGCTGTCCTGTGCCTTGTAGGATGTTTAGCAGTTTCCCTGGTCTGTAGACCCGCCAGGCACGAGTAGCACCTCTCGGCTGCGAGAACCAAAAATGTCTCCAGATGTCACGGAATGTCCCCTGAGGGGAAATTACTCCTGGTTGAGAACCGATGACTGAAATTCTTTTAATCTTTCATTTTAATGGACACTATTTATAGTTGTGACTTTACGTGTTCCTTCAGGCAGGTTTAAGTTGAAAAAAGAATTTTTGTTGTTTTGAAACAATTTCAAACTTGTAGAAAAGTCATAAGTACAGTACAAAGGACCTATTTTTCCTGAACCATTTGAGAGTAAGTTACTGACTTAACGCCTTATCATCTCCAATCCTTTAGTGTGTATTTCATACAAATAAGGATGTATTTTTTTCCCAACTATAGTAAAACCATCAAAATCAGAGAATTCACACTGATGCATTACCACCAACTGATTCTCAGACCCCATTCAAGTTTCTTCATTTATCCCAGTGATAAATTTATAGCGAAAGAATCCGGTTCAGAATCTCGTGTTGCATTTGGCTGTCCTGTCTCTTGAGTCTCCTTCAATCTGGGTCAGTTCCTCCAACTTTTCCTTCATTTTCGTGACCTTACCACTTTTGAAGAGTCCACCAGCGATTCTGTGGATGTCCCCTGTCTTGGGTTTGTCTGATGCTTCCTCACGATGGGGGTCAGCTCGTGCATCTTTGGCGGGAAGATCCCGGGAGGGACGCTGAGTGAGCTCTTCTTGGGCATCCATCCTACCAGGTTTCATTTTGTCCCTTTCCTGGTGTGGTTCACCATGAGCACTTGATCAAGGTGGTGTTTGCAGGCTTTTCCACTGCGAAGTTACTCTTTTCTCCTTGGTAGTCGCTAAGTATTTTGAGGGGCGGTGCCTTGAGGCTTTGTGAATAACTGGTTCCTCGTCAAACTTTCCTTTTCTTCATTTATATATTTATACCTGTGTGGACTCATGGATTCCTCTTTGATTCTGCTACCATCATTATTTAATTTGATATTCAAATTGTCCCAGATTGGGCCAGTGGGAACCCCTTCAAGCTGGCTCCCCTGTCCTTCAGTTCCCATCCTTTTGTGTTTTGAGCACTTCTTTAAGACCTTCCCAGCTTAGCTTGTACCTTCCTGCCCCCGCCCTGGAATCGGCCATCTCTCCAAGGAGACCAGGATCTGAATCGAAGGGTGCCTGTGCCAAAGTCTGGCTGAGCCTCTGTGCCAGACTCCTTCCTGAAGTCTGTTCCGCTTCCCACCCACGGCAGCCAGATCCCAGGCCAGAGAGGGGAGGGGCTGAAAGGGGAGAGTGACAGGGACGGAAGGGTCTGAGAACTTAGCTCACGTGCTCAGTGCGAGTGGCCCTCAGAGCAGCCCTGGAACACCATGCACCTGTCCTATGGGGGCCACCAATGCCCAGCATGTCCCTGGACTCCTGTCCTGGGATGCCGGACACGTTTATGAGAAGATTGTAGTTATTCCCAAAAAGAGGGAAATCAATAAATGAAGACAATGGACTGAAGCAACAGTTTTAAGGGAAAAGCACTTATGAAATCTGACCTCTGTGCTCGGTCAGCGTGATTTGTCCTGGGTCTTTATCAAGTACACACATGGGCTGGAAGCCAGCTGCAGGCAGATGTCAGGGCCTCCTGGATTCTGCCTTTTCCCCTTTATGTTAGTTTATGCTTATTTCCAAGAGTCAGTATCAAATGCTGATTATCTCTTGGTGTGACAGGGCACCAAGCCACATGAGCGTCCAGGGACCCACTATGTGCCAGGCAGCGTCCTGGGCACCTTCCCTATTTAATGTTTTAATTTTTTTGTTGTTGTTGTTTTGTTTTTTGGTTTTTTTTGTGAGGAAGATCAGCCCTGAGCTAACATCCATGCCAATCCTCCCCTTTTTATTTTGCTGAGGAAGACTGGCCCTGGGCTAACATCCATGCCCATCGTCCTCACTTTATATGGGACGCCGCCACAGCATGGCCTGACAAGCGGTGCATCGGTGTGCACCCAGGACCCAAACATGGGCCGCCAGCAGTGGAGCACGAGCACTTAACTGCTACGCCACGGGGCGGGTCCTTAAAGTTTTAATTTTTAAAAATTTTAAATAGACTTCATTTTTCATAGTTTTAGATTTACAGAAAATTTGAGAAGATAGTTCAGAGAGTTTCCATATACCCCACACCCTGTTTCCTCTATTCTTAATGTCTTCCATTAGCGTGGTGCATCTGTCACAATGAACGAACCAATACTGATACATTCATATTAACCGGAGCCCATCCTCTATGCAGATTTACTTGGTTTTACCTACTGTCCTTTCGCCGTTCCAGGATCCCCTCCAGGACACATGACATTTAGTTGTTGTGTCTCCTTAGCCTCCTCTGGGCTGTGACAGCTTCTGACTTTCCTTTTTTTTGATGACCTTGGCAGTTTTGAGGACAGGTCAGTTGTGTTGTCGGATGCCGCCCCCCACTGGAATTTTTCTAATGTTTTTCTCCTAATTAGATCGGGGTTAGGGGTTTGGGGTTGGAAGACCACACGGGTACAGGGTCATTTTCATCACGTTGTATCAAGAGTGCATGCTCTCAGAGTGGTCAATCACTGGGCACCTCCACTTTTGAGATCTCAATCTCCATAACAACCCTCCAAAGCTGGCATGATCCGTCCCGTTTTCCAGAGAACAGGACTGAGGCTGGGAGAGGTGAAGTAATGTCCTGGGTTTTACTGCCAGGAAGGCCTCCAGGACTGCTAAGCTGCCTCACTGTTTGGCATCTGGCTTGTTTTCAGTTTTTGAATGATTACAAATACCACCGTTGTGCACGGACTTGTTTTCTTTAGGGTTGTTTCCTGAGGGTGTGTCCCCGAAGAAGAATGCTGGGTGAAAGGGTTTGGGGGTTTCATTGCCAGAGAGTTCTGGAGAAAGCGGGAACCAGTCCGCAGGGCATGAGCAGCTGTGTTCCTGTTTCCCCACGTCCTCCCCGAGACTGAGTTTCACCATTTTTAATTATGTTTGTCTTGTTACTTTGTCACACACTTCTTTCCCTCCGGGCCACCCCGGTGGCTTGGCGCCAAATCACCGTTGACTATTTGCAAAAACTCAAAATCACTTTCAAAGGTCAAAGATTTGGCTTCACTGACATCATTGAAAAGAATGTGCCTCAGGCCAGAGATCATTTCTCAAAGCAATGGCTTGGGCAGTGGACAGTGGCCGCCTCATGGGAATGAGCCACAGCCTCCCGAGGTGACCACTGTGCCGGGACCAGCAGTTATCAGAGTGAGTAGACTCTGCGCGTTTGTTGAATCAGGAATCGGTGGTGTTGTTTCACACCCGTGCTTCTTTCGGCCATCATTCTGGTCCATTGCCCCACTGGACGCTTTCTGCCTGCTGATGGTCGTTTAAAAGGTACATGGAAGCGTGTTCCCCAGGCTAACCTAGTGTCCACACGGCGTGTTCAAACCACGTGTCTTATTTGTCTTTTCGTAGTCTCGGCCTCCTGCAGGTATTTCAGCGAGGATTCAGGGCTGTGGGTCCCCAGAACTGCTGAAATCAGAGAGGGTTCTGGAGGAGCTTAGCTGGCTTGCTGGCATCTTCGTGGCAGGTTTCTCTGCTCAGGTGTGCACAGCGGATAGCAGCATCTTCCCGGTCTCCGTAGACGACCTCTCTGAGAGTCGTGAAAGGCTGTGCGTCCCCAGAGGATAGTCTGGCCTGGGAGTTGATGTGCCCTGGGGTAGACCAGATGCCCGGGCACCACCCCCAGCTGTCTCAGATGCCAGTGGGCCCTGGTTAGATGTCAGCACACACTTGGCTGTGACCTGGCGCCTGACTTAACATGAGAGAAAACCTGGAGTAGAGGGTGGAGGTTTGGGGTGAGAAGGTAAAGGTTGTGTCCTAAGAATTGTTGCTTCAGCACCTCCCGACCAGTGAAGGGCGGGGTTGCAGGAGTGGGTGACAGAGGAGTAGCTGTCCTGCAGGTGGCCACATGGGCTCTCTCAGGCACAGGTAACAGGAACTGAGCCCGGACCGGCCTGAGCCAGAGGGCTCCAGTCAACGGGCTTCAGGCATGTTCGGCTCAGGGTTCAGAAAACGTCCTCAGGGTCCGTCACCCACCCTCTATCACCCTGCCGTGAGGTCCTCCGTGTGAGTTTCGCACGCAGCTCTGGGAGTCCTGGGCTCTCCAGACCCCAGGGGCTACCAGGTGGTGGCAGCAGCCGCAGGCAAACTTCTGACCCAGCGGAAGCCTCCCCAGCGCCATTTGGGGCATGTGCCTCCCCTGAGCCACTCCTTGTGCATGGGGGGTGGGCGAGGGAGGGGGTCCAGGGTGCTGACTGGCTAAGTGGCTGCAGGAGAAGGTGGTTCTCCAGTTCTCCAACTGCCACTGGCGAAGTGAGCACCGGGAACTGAGCCCCTGTGCCCCAGGCCTGGGGGTGGGCACTGACCCCGAAACCCATCGGCTGCTCTCCAGCCCGAGGGCCTGACTGAACACCAGCTACCACCATGTGCGGGCTGGGGCAGGACCTGGCAGCTGCCAGACCCTCCTTGGTGAAGCCTCTCCTCTTTTTCTTTTTGCAGATTCCAAGCCCAGAAGGAACTCGCCAGTAAGTAGCCCCTCCCTTCGCCCTGCCCCAGCTTTGCACCCCTAAATCTGACTCCTTCCCTGAGAGATCTGCTGGTCTGATAGCTGCCGGGGGATCGTTCCCCTCCCACAGTGCCTGGGCTGCGGGCTCCCCTGCAAGTTCAGGCTGGGTCTGCCCCATGCAGGGAGCTCTGAGCACAGTGGGGCCTCAGCCAGGCCCAGGCCCAGGAGGTGGAGCTCCACCCCCATAGCAGCCTCAGGCTCCTGGCTCACCCCGCCGGGGACTTCCAGAAGGGCCTGCCAGGCCGTGGATTTGGTTTGGGCCACTTTGAGTGCCAGGTGTGGTCAAAGGAAGGCTGTGTGTTTCCTCTTTTCTCCTTCACTCCTCCATGAGTCTCGTCCTCGCAGCTGGGATGACAAATCAGTAGCACGAACTTTTCAAACGTAGCTGTCGTGTGTGGAGCACTTACCATGAGCCAGGCACCCTGCTTCGTGCTTCCTCGAAGTTATCCCGGGTAGTCCTTACAACCCTCAGATGTTGGTACTGTCGTCTCATTTTATAACAGAGGAAACAGACGCCCAGACAGAAAAGGTCGTTCCACAGCTGGAAGGTGGATCAGCTAGGATTTGAGCCCTGGGTTGTGTGTTCTGAACTGTTACCCTCCTAGTAGGAACATCTCATCTGCCTGTTATGAAGTGCTCGCTTGCTGTGCGCAGGCGCTGGGCTGGGGGCTTTGCAAATGTTCCCCCTGATCCTACGACCACCCAGGCCAAGGGCCATATACCGGTCCTCCCTGGGCTTGGCCTGGCACCCTGCTCTGTGCCCAGCCTCCCAGGGGCAGCGGGGTGGGGGGGTGGGGGAGAGCAGGGGCGTTGCCCTCCGGAGCTGAGGGAGGGGGCGAGCAAGTTACTTGACTCCTCTGTGCCTCAGTTTTCTGATCTGTAAGATGGGAAGGGGCTAATATTAGCCAGCTCATAGGGTGGTTATGAGGGTTAACATATGTCAATGTTACATTGACACACGATAAGCACCGTATGAGACGCAGGCTACTGTCCTTGTTACTTAGTAGACGTTTAAAGCAACATGACTTCACCCGGAAAGCGACACACAGGCTACATGGCTGAGAAGCCCAGGGTAGCATGCGGCAGCTATAAAGCAGAGAAGGAGCCTCCCTGAGGTCTACAGAGATGGAGAAACTGGGGGCTTCACAGTTCAGAGACTCAGGGGAGGCTGGGGCACCCTGCATCCATGCTCCTTTCCTCTCTGCCCCCAGGAGCTGAAGAGGAGCGTGTTGGTGGCAGAGCCGGGCACAGAAGAGCTGGGGTTAATGAGTTCGCCGGCTGTGGAGACCTGCCCCAGTGTGGGGCCGGCCTGCCTGGAGAGCCAGCGGCTGCTGCAAGCCAGCCCCCCCAGCAGGCCCTCATCACCCGTGGACCATCCCGAGCCCCGGGTGACCACGGAGCATACTAATAACAGGATCGGTGAGTTGGCCTGTCTGGGGGGTCCCGGAGTGGTCAGGGCCAAGGGGGGTCAGGGGGGAGACGGGTGCTGGGCTCTCGGTCCCCGACCAGAACCAGAGACCCTGGGGCGGGAAGGCCCAGCCTGGAAGGGGCGTGGATTCTCCCACTGGCCCTCGTAAGTAGGAGGTGCTTTTGGTGCAAGAGTTGCACGACGCTTAGGCATATCATGGAGCTTGCCCCACCTCTGGACCCAGTTTAAATTTCCGTAAGAATAGGAATAGTAGTGGTACTTCATAGGGCCATGAAGTTGTCTGGGTGGGGTGGGGGTGGGGGGCGCCCCCTGCCTGGCGCCTGCTCTCATTAAAGTAAAAAGTGAATGCCACCCCCAGCCCCCTAGAAAGAGCCCCTGAGGGGGACAGGAGGAAGACATGCCAGTAACAATAAGACCTGCCACTTGTCTGAGGCATTCCGGGCATCGTGCACGTGTCACCTCCCATTGTCACTCAACCTTCTGGAGTCTTCCTCTCCTTTTACAAGTGGAGAAACCGCGGCTCAGGGGGGTGAAATGATTTTACCCGTCACACGGCTACTAAGTGGCAGAGCTGGGACTCGACCCCACATCTGCTGGACTCTGAAACCCTTGGTTTGTCCACACCGCCACCCGGCCTCTGCGGAGGCACGGAAGCTAGCACTCTCCCAACTGCAGCCGCCTTCCAGCTCGGACAAACCTGCTGCTTTGGCCTCCCACGGGCATCCCTGCCTCCTCTCCTACTTCTCTCCACCCAGCACCACCAGAGCGCTTCGACCAAAGTGTATGCCTGTCCGTCTTACACCCTCACGGGGGCCTGCTACCTGCAGGGTGAATCCCAGGGTTCTTATTCCGGCGTTCAAGGCTGGCCACGAGCTACCTCCTCGCCGGGCTCACCTGCCTCTTGACCCCACAGGTCTGCCCCTCCTGCTCAGCGGCAGTTTCCTGAGTTTTCCGAGCCCTCTATCACTTCTAAGTTTCTCTGTGGGAGCTGCTTCCTCACCTGGGACAGCCACCTCTGCCCCCTTGAATCTAGATAATTGCTCATGTACTGTGGATCCTGCTTATTTGCCTCCTCCTCCTCCAGGAAGCATCCCTGCCCTCTCCACTCTCCTGTCTAGACTGGTGTCCCTCTGCTGTGCTCCCCTAGACCCCAGGCCTCCCCCACCCAGGGTCCTTAGCACCCTGCAGTGTGGCTGTGTTTACAGCCTTCTCCCCACCCCCACCCTGCCCTCACCTAGCTGTGAGCTCCCTGGGGGCAGGGCCTCAGTGGGCTCCATCTCTGTCTTCTCTGGAGGGTTAACCATCACTGGAATGATACCAAAGAGGCGTTTGTAATTGTTCTACACGTTTCTATGGCAGGCACCAGTGGATAGAGCTCTTTGGGCAGAGTCTTTCTCACCAAACTGAAACCTTTGGAATTGGAGCTTTCAGCAAGTTTCATTTGAAAAGAATGTATTTTGGGAAATACCACCAAAGGCATCTCCTTTCAATTTCCTAAGTTCTAATTTGAACGTTTGAGTCCACGCTGAGGGCCGTACCTGGAGCTGTGGGAGTGGGGCTCCGGGAATGTTGGAGGGGAGGATGGAGCGGGGGTACCTGGCTCCCAGGATGGCTGGGGCGTGGGCAGCCTGCCCAGAGCTGAGCCAGCCTACAAGCCTTGCAGGTGAGCAGGGTGGTGGGGAGGGAAGGCCTTGGAAGTTTTCTTGGGGCACCCAAGAGATGGTGAGCTCTTTGTCCTCCCGACAGCACCCCAGAGGAGCACCCCCCTTGTCCGGTTCCCAAGGGGGACCAAACTCTAGCCTAGGCTTCATCTTTCTTCCCCTGGGCACCAGGCAGGGGCAGCCCCTTCTCCCCCCTCCCCCCCACCTCCCCAAGACAACGTCTCTGGATTCTGGAGCCCTGGGTGGGGCAGGAAGTCCCAGCAGCTTCTGGGAACCCTGCGCCTCCCAGCTGGGGGGTGGGCAGCCCTGTGATGGGGTCAGAGGCAGAGGAGTCAGGCCCCGAGGGATATGAGGGGGTGATGGCCGGGCCCAGCTTTGGCTGCTTCTCCCTAGACAAGCCCACCCCTCCTTCTCTGCCCCCCTCCTCTGTGCCACTCTCTCATCTCCTCCAGCCCTGGCTAGCCGCCTCTGCACTCTCTCTCACCTCCCAGGCTCCCCTCTCTCTCACCACCTCTGGCCCCCGTCTTTTGCCAGCCCCTCTGGTCAGGTTTCCAGGGTGAGGGGCCTGCAGGCCTTGATGGAGGGTGTGTGGCTGGGGCCCAAGGCCCTGCTCTCTCTTTCGGGGTGTGGCGGGCCCAGCCTGCAGCTGTCTCCCTGTCTCAGCCTTCCCTCCAGTTCTTGCTGCTATTTTGAACACTTCTCTCTTTCCTGGGGGTGTAAAAACCAGAACAGAAGAGCCGGCATTGTGCAATGGGGGTGAGGGCACAGGGGCCCCAAGACTCTTTTGAGGGTTCCTGAATCAGAGAGCTGTAACCGGGTTACCCAGAGAGACAGGGATCCCCAGCTCCCTGCCCCACCCCAGCTCTCAGGTTGCTCTTGAGCTCCCCCATTCAGGATCCAGAGTCTTGGGACCGAGCAGCTGGGAGCTGGGACCCTTCCCTGAGCTCGAGGCCCTCAGAAGCTGGGAAGTAGGGTGCTTAGAGTCTGCTGACCTGGGTGAAGGCCAGGCTCCCCACTTCCCAGCCTCTTGGGCCACTTAACTTAACTCCCCTGAGCCTCCGAAGCCCCCGAAAGCAGACGGTGGTGAGGACCCTGGGGATCAGGCCTCTAACGGGCTGAGCTGGTCATTCGTCCAAGCGATATACACAAGCGATCCTACCGTGTGCTAGGCAGGCTCAGCCATGAAGGCCTCAGGTGGGAGATGGGCAATAAGCAAGGAACAACGAAATATACTGGCCCCGAGCACAGCTGTCTGAATCGCAGGCTGCTGGTAATTACTGACAGGGCTGAGGTTTCTGTAGGGTGGGGCCGACCATCTGGGTTTGCCTGGACCCAAGAGGCCCTGGGACCCAGGACTTTCACTGCTAAAACCAGGAGCATCCCGGCAAACCCGAAGAGGTTGGTCACCCCGGTTTTTGCTTCAGGCACGAGGATAGGAGCAGAAAGGGCAGCCAGGCGGGGCGGGAGTTTCTTTTGGGATTTCTCCTAGCTACCTGGTGACCTTGGGCAGGTCACTTAACCTCTCTGGTTCAGGTTCTGTATCTGTAATTAGGGATAATAATCAACTGTCCACCTCGCAGAAGTGATGTGAGGATTCAGGAGCAAATGTGGAACAGCGTCCCGCACAGGCTAACCTCTCCTCGTGTCCCCTGGTGCTACAGTTCTCCATGTCATTACCTGCTTTCTCCCCATGCTTCCTTTCTCCCCCGACCCTGTTCTCTTCTTCCCTACCCCATCCCTGCAGAAGTGCCGAGAAAAGCACAAGCATCTCCCATAAGTAGCAAGTGGCCCAGTCCTTAACTCCCCGGCACGCAGTTCCTAGCTGCTTTATCTCCTTTGAGGCTCAGGACACCTGAGATTGGCAGGCTTACTGTGCATCAGAGAGGTTGTGGCAGCTGCCTGAAGCCACACAGCAGAAGTGGCAGAGCTGGGCGCTCCCCTGCCTCCTTGCTTCCATCCGGCTGGGGCTCTGTTCCTCTCACCTCACCCATGCTTTTGCTTTGCAGAGAAAATCTACATCATGAAGGCCGACACAGTGATTGTGGGGAGTGTGAAGACCGAGGTGCCTGAGGGCCGGGGCCTGGTGGGGCCAGCGGGGCCCGAGTTCGAGGAGGATCTGGAAGTGGATCATGCTCCCCACTACCCGGAGCAGGAGACAGAACCACCCCTGGGCAGCTGCGGGGACGTCATGTTCTCAGTGGAAGAGGAAGGGAAGGAGGACCCCTCGCCCACGACTGCCTCTGGGAAATGAGGCCTGGCCTGCCTGCGCTGGGGCTGAGAGGGCAGCCGGGTGCCCCCTGGGAGGCCAGGGTGGCACTGGTGGCACCAGGCGGGTGGCAGAGGCCCATCTGGCCTGAACTTAGGTTCCAGCATCCAGTGGTCGACCAGCCTGTCAATGTAGGAGGGGTTCTGGTGGTCTCTACCTGTATCCTCACCCAGCTGCCCCCCACCCCAACCCTAGGGAAGCCGGGCTTGTGCAGTACAGACGACCAAGGGGTGATCTGAACGGCGACATTTGTTGGAGCAATGGATGGATGGCAGGGACTGGGCACCCCACCTTCTGTTCCTGCCCAGATGAAGATGCTCCCAGAGCCCTGGGCATCCACACACCAGCAGGGCCGGAGCCCACCTGAGGCGGGGGCCAGGAGGCCACACCCCTCTCCCCTCACCTGGGCCTCAGGAGTGACGCCCATTGCGCCTTACTGCCGTGCCAGCAGCCCCCGGTTACTGTAAATGTGGACCCCCATGGGCACTGAGCCAGCGCCTGTGGTTGTTTCTCCCGAGTCAAAAGGGAAGTTGAGGGATGGGGCGTTGTTGGCTGGCCCCATCTTGGCTGCAGCCGCTGCTCTGGGCTCTGTGCCAAGGCGAGTGCCCAGCCTGGCCTCCAGCCCCACTTGGGCTGAGGGGGACCTTTCTGGTGCAGCCAGCCCTTCCCTGTCCTGCAGCCCCCACAGTGGCCCAGGGCCTAGGATCAACTCAGTCGTCTCAGCGTGTCCCCCCAGTCCTCACAGTAGGAGGCATCTCAGGACCCAGGTGTCTGCAGACCCTCAGCAGCTGCAGTGCCCGCTGCGGCCGGAGACCCTGCTCCCAGCCGCTGCCTGGAGAGGGGCCTATTCTGCTTTGCCCAGGGGCTTCCTCCCCGCATGGAGAAGGGGAACCGTGGGCCCTTTCTGGTCCTTGCCTGCTCTGTGGGCACCACCAGCCCTGTCCTGGGAAATGCAGAAGCATCTCCCCCAGATCTGCCACGCTCGCAGATCCCCATGGCACCAGACCCTGCCCTCTGGCTCCAGCTGCTCAGCACCCATAGTTGGGAAGTGGATGTCAAAAAGCAACACGGTTTCACCCAGACATACTGCCTTATTCTGGACTGTCAAGAGAGAAGAAGCATTTGGTAGTTTGCTCTGGATTTCAGGTTTTTTGCATTTCACTCTGAGTAGTTACCCCAATGTAATCTACTGGCTTGCTCTCCCCAGGGCCTTCAGACTCTGCAAAAAAACAAGTGGCCTTGGAAAGGGACCGGGGCACTGAGTCGCAGGCAGCCCGGAGGCTCCTGGAATTACCCAGTGGGAGCTGGGCCTGGGAAAGCCACTGTTTACTCACCAGCCTGCTCGCTCTCTGGAGGAAGTGGGGCTGGGTCAGGACTCACAAGGGTAGTTTCTGAAACTGCTCAGATGTTTTGGGGAAAGCTGGAGGCTGGGGCACCGTGAGAAGCGGTTACACCAGAACCTGAAGACATTTACATGGGATGGACGATATTTGCCAAAATGCCTTATGCCAGGACGGTGTGGGCGTGCTCTGCGCCCCTGAGCACCCTGTAGGGTGTCTGAGGACGCCACACACCCACTGAGGAGCGGCCCAGGCAGACATGACCTGAGGATATGGACCATGTTTCATGAAGTGAGGCACTCGCTCGCTCAAGGGCCCTTCACAAACCTTTTGATCCATTAAAAATTCCTAAGTTCCCTTAAAAGTGAATCGTGAGGCTATGGGAACTCACTGAGATTTGAGATTTGGGAACCTCTGAGCGGAAGGGTCCAAGCAGTCTCTCTCCCTCCAGGACAGGGGCTGCCTCTTCAATCCTCTGCCCCAGACACCCAGGTGGCCAGCCTCTGGGGACAGGGAGCCCGCTGCCTGCTGGGGCAGCCCTTCCCCCTGCTGGAAGTTCTTCCTGAACAGTGGAGGCAGATCCTTCCTCCATGTAACTCCCACTTTCTGGTCCAAGGCCTGCCCTTTGAGCATACTCAGAATAAACATGCTTTTGTCACAAGGCTCCCTTTGGGTCTTTGCAGCAAGGGATCCCCGGCCTCCGCACGGCCTGCCTCCCTCTGGGCTGGGCTGAGCAGCCACAGCTTGGGCAAAGGGAGACACAGATTAGTAGCGTGAATGCTGCTGCCTTGGAGGGCAGGGAAAGGACAGGGGTGAATGTGAGCCTGGGGCTTCCTGCCTGAGCTGGGAGGGGCCCAGCCCGCCTCCCCGGTCACAGCTCGGGGACAGTTGGGGGCCTGCTCTCCACCACAGGCAGCCAGCCTAGAGCCCCTCTCTGACTATGGCTCCCCTGTGGGGTGGAGGAAGGGGGGCCGTGGTCAGCCAGCGCCCACCCCACCCCAGGACTCAGCTTATTCCCAGCCCTCACAATCAGCCCCGCCGCTGAACCAGTCACGCCTGCCACGTGGTGGGTCTGAGAGCCAGGGCGAATCTCCCTGCCCTGACCAGTGTTGCGGGGCCCCTTCTCCACCTCTGGCCATTCTGACGTCCAGGTGGGCAGACGGACAAGGACCCTGTCCCTCAGGGTAGCAGTTCCCAGGCTGTAAGGGACTGTCCCCCACACGCACACCTCTCTTCCTGAACAGTTGTAGTCACAGAGTGACATAAGTGATGTGTCCTACGGAAGCTATTGCATTCAACGAAAGCCCATTGTTGCCCAAGGCAGTCTTGTAGGTTGTAGACTATTCTAGGTCCTTAGAATCTCTAAGACCAGGGCCACTCCCTAAAATGGAACAAGAAACTGAATCTTCAGAGCATTTCTCTCTTTCTCCCCCCCACTCCCCAGCAGTGAGATCCTAAAGACCCAGGATGGTGTCTGTGTCCTCTCGTCCCACAGGCACTGGGAACTGCTTTGTTGGGCTGAACAGAAGTGAAAATCTGTGCAGAGACAAGAGGCGGCTCTGGGCTGCAGTTTCTTGGGTGCCGTCTCTCCTCCACCCACTTCCTAGATCTTCCCTGTCCTCGAACAGAGAACAGTGGGGGCAGGTGGGGGTGGGAGGGACCAAATCCACAGGCAGCGCTGGGAGAGCCCTTACATGTGCATAAAGCTTGACTGGAAGCCAAGGTGAGAATGCTGAAGGCTGCAAGCACAGCTCCTTGGGCCTATGGAGAAGCTGACCAAGCCCACCTTGGGCTCTGGTGCCTTCCCCAGGCCCCTGGCCCCGGGCCAGCACCCCGAGCTGGGCGCACACTCTGGGGCCATGCCCAGGCCGACCCAGAGGAGCAGGTTTCGGTGGGTGTGAGTGAAATGCAGGGCAGAGAGGCCCTGCCCACCGCTCTCCGCGGTCCGCACACAGGACAGCAGCAGCGTGCAGATTGGGATGGGCTCTGGGGTCAGACTTGGGTTCGAATCCCAGCTCTGCCACTTACCAGCTGGGCGATCTTGGTTCTGTGCCTTGATCTCCCTAAAGCTCGGTTGGTCTGGTCTGTGAAACGGGGAATCAGTCCCTATCTGAGAGGGTCGTGAGCTTCCCTTAGATGCCACCTGACACGTGGCTTGTGCTGGCCACATGGCAGCTTCTGTCCTTGGTCCAGCCTGGCAGCTACTTGCCAAGAGCAAGCCCTTCCTAGGCCTGCAGAATTGAGCCCCCTCTGACTTACAAACAGGAAACCTTCAAAAGGGCATTGGGCTTGAACACTTTTCTCCCGGAGAATCCACATTATAATTGGTGGTTGTTTCCGGGGCTGGCCCAGTAAAGCCAGCATTAGCTCTCATAGCGTTAACCAGGGCTCTCCGGCCCTCCCTGGCCTCCTCCCTTGGGGCCAAGTTCCTGTGGGAACCCGACAGTGGACAGACCCCTTCTTGCTATGTGGGGTGCCCTGGAGAACCCCTTAAGTCAGCCGTAGGACTGGCTGTTTATTAGTCAGATGTCTGTAATTCTGGACATTTGTGAAGGGCTGCGGGTCCCTCTGCAGGGGACATCCTGCTCATGATTCTAGTGTATGCCAGGCTGCACTGCAGTGCTGCTCCAAATCTTTCTTGAGTGACTTCCTTCCCTTCCTCCCTTCCCTCTCCCTTCCTCGTCCCTCCCTCTCTCCTTTCTCCCTCCCTTTCTCCCTCTTTCCCTCCCTCCCTCCCATCCTTCCTTCCTTCCAAAAACACCTATGATGAGCCAGGCCCAAGTCTAGCTGCAGAGGATGCACTGTGCTCTCGTGGTTCCTGTCTCTAGTGGATGAGATGGATGGTAGCGCATAACCAAATCAGTGAACAAGGTCCTTGCAGAGTCAGATGGTGCCCTGTGCTACCAGAAGCCCCAGTCAGGGGACTGTGGCAGAGTGTCTGGAGGCCAGGGATGGCTTCTCTGAGAAGCTGTCCTCTGATCTCGACCTGAGCAACATACAAGTGGAGGAGGTGGGGACCTAGGGGCAGAGCATTCCGGGAAAGCAGGGGGCTGAGGTGGGAAGGCTCCTGGCCTTGAGATTCAGGAAGCACAGCACCGGTAGAAGCACGGCGAGCAGGGCGGGGAGAAAAAGGAGGTGAGCGAGAGGCCGGCGGGCCAGATCCCGGAGGGCTGGCGGGCCATTGTAAGGCACTAGGTTTTATCGTAAGAACATCAGTCTCGGTTTCTTTCCATTTTCCTCCTATTAGAACAATAAACATCCTGCCATTATCTCAGCAATGGGCATGAAAGCCAAACCAGGGGCAGCAGAAGTTGTTTTAGCCTATTTCAGAGGGCAGCCGGGGAAAGAGGCAGCGGCTGCTGGTAGCCAGGAAGCAGCGGGGTGGACTTTCTCAGAAAGGGCAGAGAGCTAAGACAACATTCCCGGTGAATAGCGCAGCGCTGGGCCCTCGGCTGATGTCACTGCAGGAGGCCGGGAGCCAGTCGGTCTAGGTTCCCTTTTCTTTGGGTGTCTTCCAGGAGAGCAAAAACCAAAGCAAACAACCCTGGGAAGCTGGAGGCCTTTGTGTTTTGCGCTTTCAGCTGGACGCTTTCCTCCTTAGCCCTCCAGCACTCACCTCCGTCCCATTTTATTACCAACTTGGGTTTCCTGATCTGCAAAGCAGACGTGATCATTACCTTGAGAGATGGTGCTGAGGCTCAGCAGTAACAGGGTGACGCGCTTGGCCTGGTGCGAGGCATATTCCCTGTTCGGTACCTGACAGTCATCATAAGCAGTATTTTAAGACCTGTAGAGTTTGCCCAAGGCTTTCTGCATTCTTTATGCATTTGGGCTTCATAATAATATTCAGCAAATAGGCTGAATATCAGCACTCTCTTTTACAAATGGAGGCTCAGAGAGGCAGAGCAATGGCCCCACTGTCACACAGCCAGGAAGTGCCAGAACTGGACTTCAACCCCCAACTGTGTGATTCTAAATGCCCCCCGCCCCGTCAGCCGGCTGCCTCTGTGGCTAGGGCTGTGTTTGTGTCGCAGTTATCGTCTGGCAGTATGCCCTCTGGACAAGTTTCCTTTTACCTGCAAGTCAACACAACTGGGAGAGAGGAAGAAAGCTGACTTTACTCTTCCTTTTACGGGGAGGCTGGGACACTTACAGGAGGCTGGGTAATCCGCCCGAGATTAAGCAGCAGCCCAGGTGTGGCTTTCTGATTCCTCTGACTGGGCAGAAAGGACGCCGAGCTAACCCAGCAGCTTCGAAGCTGCTTCCTGGAAGGTGGTCTGGTTCGGAGGTCAGGGGATACTCAGGGCTGAAGGCCAGGCAG